AAGCCCTAACCAAATTCCTGGCCCACCAAAACTGTAAGAAAAAAGAAAATGATTATTGTTTTAAGCCACTATGTTTTGGAGCAAATTACTCAATAACAGATAACCCCAAAGCAGCTCTCTATGTACTGATATGGAATAATCTTTAATGTATGAGAGTCATTATGAAAATTTTGAGATTCACCAAAATCAAGAAATGTAAAATCTGCAAGGTGGGAAGTAAATGACACCCTATTGCCTACACCAATGAGTTGAGTAAGTTGAAACTTGCATGAGTGAATCAGAAAAGATGCAGTTGACTATGTTTCTTGGAAGTGAAATAACAGACATAACATGATCTGTCTCAAAATTTTCATAGTGACCCAGAATGGTTTAAATATATATATATATATATATATATATATATAAATAAAATCTTGTGTATATATATATAGACTAGTGGTTTGCCAGCCCTGGGTGTGCTCAGAATCTCCTGGATGGCTTTTTAAAAACATCAATGTCTGAGTCCACTCTACATCAAATAAATCATAATATCTAGGGGTGGGATGAAATCAGTGCTATTGTTCCTGAAATTTTGGCACTTATCCCTAATGCCATATTATTAACAGAAGAATGAGGACAAGTGGTTGAGGAAAAGGCAAGAGGAGTTTATTAATTTGTTGGCAAATGGGGAGAATGTCAGACTCTCAAAGTACCTTTGCTTAATCATAAGCAGAAATGCTGATCTTTTAAAGGGAGGCTTTTTGGTTTAAGGGTATTGTTTAATTATAATTGATGGTTTTGACTGATCCCATCTCCCATCTCTGGTGAAGACAGTCTCTTGTGACCTTCTGGAACTCCATCTGGACAATTCTGTTGAGCCGTCTTCTGTGGTACAAAGAACAAAGGACATTCCCCTGTCCCTCCTGACAACTGGCCTGTGACAGAGAGACATCCCTCCTGACAACTGGCCTGTGACAAAGAGATGCAGGTTTTAGTTTTCAAAAAAGGTGAGGGGGTTTTAATGAGACAGAAGGCACTTTACCCTTTTTCAGGGTGTTCTCTCTGTTATCTTTTAAAAGTTCCTGAAGGGATTCCAATGAGCAGCCAGAATTGAGAACTACTAGGACTGTAGGAAATGGGTGCTGTGTTTGTCTCCAGAAAGATTTACAGGGTCAATGCTCCTTCTTTTCCTAAAGGAAAAGGGGGGGGGGGAGAAAGGAAGAATGGAAAAGTACACAGGTGGAAGAATGGATAGACAGGGTGCAAGGAAGATTTACTTTTAACTGTAAATTCTTTGACCTTTGGAATTTGTTTTCTCTACTTTCTAAGTGTTACCTATTTGCAAGAACAATCAAGTTAAAATAAAAAAATAAAAAATGTGGCTCAGTGCCTGTGGCTCAAGTGGCTAAGGTGCCAGCCACATACACCTAAGGTGGCGGGTTCAAATCCAGCCCCGGCCTGCCAAACAACGACAGCTGCAACCAAAAAATAGCTGGGCATTGTGGCAGGTGCCTGTGGTCCCAGCTACTTGGGAGGCTGAGGCAGGAGACTCGCTTGAGTTGATGAGTTGGAGGTTGCTGTAAGCTGTGATGTCACAGCACTCTACCCAGGGGAACAGCTTGAGGCTCTGTCGCAAAAAAAAATAATAATAAAAAAATGTAAAACACCTACAACCATGCAAATGAATTCCGAATAGCATACCAGGAATAACCCATTCAATATCAGGAGTCAGTTCATGGGCTCATGGGGTCCAACAGGAAGTAATCTGTCTCACCTGGCAAGACTAGGTTATTGGGAAGTGTAGAGGCAGTGATTTGCGCCCCTAACCTGAAATGACTTTTCTCCTGGCCCACAATGCCCCCAGTGACTACACAATTAGTTAGTTACTTTTTGGAAAGGTTTGTGACAGAATAAGGCTATAAAATGTAGCCCTTGGGCTGCCAGCAACCCCTACGAACCCTTAGACTAACAGGGAAAATGCCCAGGCTTAGACAAGAGTGGTAAAGAGATCCAGGTGCTGGCTGGCTGTGCCACTGGCCTGCTGTTATCAAGGAAAAGCAGATTATTAGCCAGCTCTCCATTAGCAGGGATTTGGTTATTGTTTCCTCCCTTTGTTTCCTGCCGCAGAGCACTGGAGCATCAGTGAAGTTAATATAGTGTGAGGGCAGACCAAAGTCTAGCTCCATAGGGCCCCTGGGGAGGTGAATGTGTTGGAGGACAGAAGGGACCACAACATTAAACAGCAGCCTGGGCTGCTGAACTAGGAAGGAGAGAGGCACCAATGGCTGACCTAAAGTTTCTTCTCTAGTACTTCTCCCTGGCACTGGGGTATAGCTGAATATTCTTGAATTTTGGCTTCTGACAGCTCACGTTTCAAAGTCCGCTACTTATGGCTTGGTGCTATAGCTCAGTGGTTAGGGCGCTGGCCACATGCACCAGGGCTTGTGGGTTTGAGCCCAGACCAGGCCTGCTAAACAACAATGACAACAACAACAAAATAGCCGGCATTGTGGTAGATGCCTGTAGTCCCAGCTACATGGGAGGCTGAGGCAAGAGAATTGCTTAAACCCAAGAGTTTGAGATTTCTGTGAGCTGTGACATCACAGCACTTTACTGAGGGTGACATAGTGAGACTGTCTCAAAAAAAAAAAAAAACCCACTACTTACTGTCTACATGACCTTGGTAAGTAACAATATCCTGAGCTCCAATTTCTTTTTCTGTAATACAGATTGATATGCATGGAATAAAAGAAAGGAAATGATAACAATTTGATCAGTCTTTATTGGTATCTATTACATGTAAGGATAGAGGCAGAGTTTTACATTTGAATAGCACAGTGAGGCTTGGCACCTGGAGCTCAGCAGCTAGGGCACCAGCCGCATACACTAGAGCTGGCAGGTTTGAACCCAGCCTGGGCCTGCCAAACAACAATGATAACTATAACCGAAAAATAGCCTGGTGTTGTGGCGGGCACCTGTAGTCCCACCTACTAGGGAGGCTGAAGCAAGAGAATTGCTTAAGCCCAAAAGTTGGAGGTTGCTGTGAGCTGTGATGCCACAGCACTCTACCCAGGGTGACATAGTGATACTCCGTCTCAAAAAAAAAAAAAAATGAATAGCGCAGTGAGGGTAATGGTTAAAGAGAGTGGACTTTGCAGACAGATGTGAATGGGTTAATGGGTTAAAATCATACTATTGTCACTTATTAACTGTGGGACCTTGAGCAAGTTACTTTACATCTGTAAATCTAATTTCCTTACTTACAAAAGAAGAATCATGATATAGCACTTCCTCTAAAGCGGCTGTGGGGACTAAATAAAATAATGAATGTCAACAGTTCTGCACAGGCACATGATAAACATCCTGAAATTGGCAACTGTTCCCATTCTGGTAGTTGTGCAATCTATAGGGAGTGGACAAAGTACTTCACACCGATTGCCTTACTCAACTCTCTCCAGAACTCTGGGTGCCAGGCCATTACTCATCCTTTAAAAGGTGAAAACACTGATGCTTGTTTAGATTAAGTGATTTGTCTTCAGCCATAGGGGACAGCGTCAGGAGTTGAACCCAAGTGTTCAGATTCCTCATAAGACTTGTGACTTTTGAGAACTCTGAATCTGATGGGTGACGGAATTTGGGCACCATATCTAGAAAAGAAAAGGAGTTCCGGCTCGGCGCCTGTGGCTCAAGCGGCTAAGGCGCCAGCCACATACACCTGAGCTGGCGGGTTTGAATCCAGCCCGGGTCCGCCAAACAACGACGGCTGCAACCAAAAAATAGCCGGGCGTTATGGCGAGCGCCTGTAGTCCCAGCTACTTGGGAGGTGGAGGCAGGAGACTCGCTTGAGCCCAGGAGTTGGAGGTTGCTGTGAGCTGTGATGCCATAGCACTCTACCCAGGGGGACAGCTTGAGGCTCTGTCTCAAAAAAAAAAAAAGAAAAAAAAAGAAAAGGAGTTCCTTAAATGATTGTAAAGAGGTTCATTGGGAAAGGAAGGAAAGGAAGTTAGCCCTGCTTCCTTTAGAGGTCCTCCTCCATACCCATCTACTGAAGCTACAAACAAGGTGAAGAATGAAATTCATACATACTCAATATCAGATCCTGACCAATTCGGGGCAGATAATTAAATCAAGACATGATAGCATGTGATTGGCAGGCTAGTTTACCTAGGGTGGTTAGGGACGGCCTTGCTGTGGAGAGGACAGACATTTTGACTGAGATTGGAGATACAAGAAGAAACCAGGTAGCTGGAACCAGTGCTCAGGTATGAGATCAAGCTTGGCGGGCAAAGAGGGTCGGTGGGGGTCGGGCTAGAGAAGAGATGCGAGCCTGGGTGCGTTAGCGCGCAGGGTCTCCAGGGCATAGGGAGGGCTTGATTTTATCTACAAAGGACATGGAAAGCCTCTGAGGGTTTTAAACAAGATTGGAATTACATTTTATATTTGTTTTTACATTTTTATTACGTTATAGGAAGAGCCTTGTGGTTACTGGGACCTATGGCGGATATTGAGTGAGAGTGGGGCAAGAGCCTCTCACATGCCAGCCAGCCTTTTCCCATTCAGGTCCCCAATTTCTCCTTCTACAATATCCGGTGGTAGGGCACCGGATCGTAGGGAGTCCACGGACAAAGACAGGGCCGCTCGCACTCGCCGAGCCGATTACGGCCCTAGGTAGAGGGCTTCCGCGTCTCTCCAGGCTAAAGCCACGGTCTCACAACGTATTCGCACGGCCAACCAGTCACCGGCTCAGGCGGCGGGAAGAACCGCCCCTACCACTCGCGCCGCGTTGGCTCTTCTGCCCCGGGCTCTCAACCGCTAGGAAGACAGCCAGGGGGCGGAACCCTCACCAGTCGGAGCCCAGTCATTGGCTGGTGGCCGCGTCGCTCGCTCCAAAGAGCCACATGACTGCCACCGCCCGAGCGTTCCCACCGGTTCTGCGTTCGGTACCTCTCGGGGGCGGGGCGAGGGGCGGGGAAGGGGGCCGGGCGGATCTCCACCCCCGCCGCGGTGTCTCTTTAGCTGGGCCACTGGGGAGGACGCGCAGTGGAGCTTTGTGGTCTGGGACCGCTCGGATCCGAGAGGTGAGAGGAGAGGGGAGGGGATGCAGGAAGATGAGAGGAGCGGTGGCGGCCGCCACGCGGTCAGCGGGTCCCTCTTAGAGTGGTTCTGCCTACCTGGGTCCCAGGCGCGGTGGAAGCCCAGTCCTGCGGTGGGAAGTGGGAGCACATCGTGGTTATTTCCTGGGTCGGCAGGGCAAGTGGCACTCCACCCCCGGTGATCCGGGCCTGGCTCTTGGGACTGAAGACTGTCCACCCTCCACCTCACACTTCTCGCGGGGTGCCCACGCTCTTTGCTGCTCCTTCAAGTCCTGGTTGAACCGTCTGGGACCCAGATATCTGGGAGCCGGACCGAAGAGATATGAGCCACCATCATCACTCTGGACAGGTGGAGAAACTGAGGTGTGGAGAGCAGAGAGGGCTTGGTTGTCTTGTAAAATCACACACGTGGTTAAGTACAAAATCTGACCAGTACTTCTTCCTAAGTAGGAATGCTTTCATTGGATAAATGGGAACGCTGAGAAGACACCCAGAGGGTGAGGGCCTTGTGTAAAATTACACAGCAGGTCATTTGCCAATCTAGAACTTGTATCACGCTCGCCACACTTACAGAATATCAGGCTGGGCCCCTTTTTTGCCCGGATTGGAGACCACAGAAGCATTCACAACTCCTTTTTGGCACCTTTTTTCTCTCCTTTCCCCTGTAGCTCTTTTTGTGAAATCTAGAACTGATGTGATATCCAATATTGGATTAACCAGAAATTTTTGGTTTTAAAAATTGATAAGATTTGGAAGATCAAAGCTATTGAAAAGAAATGAGTTCCACTGGGAGACTGAGACGGTGGATGGCTTGATCTCAGGAGTTTGATACCGGCCTGAGCTAGAGTGAGACCCCGTCTTTAAACATACCTGAAAGTTGTGGCGGATGCCTGTAGTCCTAGCTACTTGGGAGGCTGAGGCAGGAGGTTGAGGTTGCCCAATCAGGAACCTCAAGGAAAGAAATAGCAAGGGATGGAAACTAATAGCTATCATTTATTTGTTAATAGTAATTTCTATGTGCCAGGCACCGTGCTTAGGTACTTGTGTGATGTTATCCTGATTTTCCAGGTCAGAAATTGATGCCGAGTAAAATGGAGTTTTCACCCAGTGCCGTACAGTAGAGGTCGGACTTCAAGAGTACACCCATTATTCTGCAAGTTTGGTCCTGTGTTCGCTCACTGGCTCAGCATCATCCAGGGTGCAGAGTCTTAGATGCCAACCTTTGATTTGCAGAGGCAGTCCTAAGAATCTACATTTTAACAGCTCTCTGTAGGAGGTATTTGAAAATCATTGTACTGTAATGTACTGCCTCCTAGGGGGAGATCTAGAGATAAACCTTGTAGCAAGCTTGCACACCTCTCTCTCCCGCCCCCTCAGATGCTTGCCAAACTACAATTTTTTGAAGCAAGCTTGGTTATGGCATTTCAGAGCAGAGGGGCGAGGGGGTATTGAGTTAGATGAGAATGGGGAAAGTATCTATCATTCACTGAACAAATATTTGTTAAGCACTTAGTAGGTGCCAGTTACAGTTCAAAGCGGGGGTGGGGGGGTACAGCTTCAAACAAAACAGGCAAGACGCTGCTCTTATTGTGTCTAGGAAAGAACTGATTTATGAGGAGTCATTTGAGGAGAAAACTCAAAAAAAGAGAGGGAGCAACCGTGACTAACTAGCCAGAGAGGAGCATTACAGTTAGAGCAGCCTAGCAAAAATATGGAGGAAGCAGGAGCTTGCTTAGCTTATTTGACTCTTGTCTGGGATGCTAATTATTCTCCCCAAAATGTAGCTATAGGGCAAATGTTGTGTTATTGCTCCTAATAGGTGGGGGAAAAGTAAAGAGAAAAAAAAAGAAAATGTTACCAACTTATGCGTATAATCTGAAACAAAAGTAGTTTCAGTCCCTTCAAGCAGTTTGTTACCTTCACTTATTAAAATTACTCATAGACTCAAATTAGTTGAGTACTTGGCTACAGATTAGCACTTTGAACTAGCTCCTGGGAACTCTTAGCAAGAAAAACAAATTTGGGAACAGTATGGTATGGTAGAAAGAACTGAACTTTGAAATTGGAAGATGTGGTTTGAGAATCTGGTCCTACCAGTTAATTGAGCAAGTGACTAGACCTTGATTTTTCTCATACTGGAAAATAGCAATTCATACTCTTTTTTTTTTTTTTAATTGAGACAGAGTCTCACTTTGTGGCCCTCGGTACAGTGCCATGGTCATAGCTCACAGCAACCTCAAACTCTTGGGCTTAAGTGATTCTGTTGCCTCAGCATCCCAAGTAGCTGGGACTACGGGTGCCTGCCACAAGACCTGGCTTTTTTTTTTTGGTAGAGATGGGGGTCTCACTCTGGCTCAGGCTGGTCTCAAGCCTCTGAGCTCGGGGCAGTCTGCCTGCCTTGGCTTCCCAGAGTGCTAGGATTACAGGCGTGAGCCACCATGTCTGGCCAACTTTGCTCAAGATTAAAAAAAAGTTTCTTAACAAGCCATCAGGAGACAGTGTAACTTTTAATCACATGTTTGTGTTCAAGTCAAGATTCTGCTGCTTATGGCTTGGCACCTGTAGCTCAGTGGCTAGGGCACCAGTCACATATACTGGAGCAGGCGGTTCGAACCCAACGCAGGTCTGCCAAATGACAATGACAATTACAACAACAACAACAACAACAAAATAGCTGGGCATTGTGGTGGGTGCCTGTAGTCTCAGCTATTTGGGAGCCTGAGGCAAGAGAATTGCTTAAGCCCAAGAGTTTGAGTTTGCTGCGAGCTGTGATGCTACAGCACTCTACTGAGGGTGACATAGTAAGACTCTGTCTCAAAAAAAAAAAAAAAATTGTGCTGCTTAGAAGCTAGGTAAGTACTGGAAAGTTATTTACAAATTACACGGTCCACACCTACTTTTTAGCCTAGTTTAACAGAGAATTTTCCATATAAGAAAGGAGACTTATTTTGGTGGACAACTTGTTGACATTAATATTGAGCTAACCTTAAGACTTCAAGTTTTCCACAGTTTTGTTCCTTTTTTTTTTTTTTTTTTTGAGACAAAAGTCTCACTGTGTTGCCCCAGGCTAAAGTGCCATGGCATCAACCTAGCTCACAGCAACCTCAAACTCATGTGCTCAAGTGATCCCCTTAGGCTTCCAAGTTGCTGGTACTATAGGCGAGTTCTAGGACTACAGGAGTGTGCCACCATTCCTACTAATTTTTCTATTTTAGTAGAGACAGGGTCTCACTCTTGTTCAGGTTGGTCTTGAACTCCTGAGCTCAAGCAATTTTCCCACCTCAGCTTCCCAGAGTGCTAGGATTCTAGGCATGAGCCACCACAGCTGGCTTCACTTTATCTCTTGTTGGTTTATAGCTATAATTCTTTGTTGTTAGTGAGGTTGCTGTAAGGTTTATAGTATGTATCTTAAAGTTGTCACTCTCTATAGTATACAGTTGCATGTCTAGAATAAGAGTCTTAACAATAGAATATTTTGATTTCTCCTCTCTGGCTTTTGTGTTTGTGCTAAGATATGTAATGTAAAATTGTCCATTTTGATCATGTTTAAATTTATAATTCAGTGCCATTAGGTATGTTATGTAACAGTCACACTATCTATGCCAAAAATTTGAGATAGAAACTCTATAACCACTAATTTATCATTCCCACAGTACCTGGTAACCTCTAATCTATTTTTCTGCCTCTATAAACTTACTTATTCTAGAGGTTTCATACAAACAGAATAGTATAACACTTGCCCTTTTATGCTTTTATGTCTTCCTTTCCCTTAACCTAATGGTTCTAAGGCTTATCTATTTATAGGTAAAGGGTTCAGAACCTCATTTTTTTTTTTTAGACAGAGCCTCAAGCTGTTGCCCTGGGTAGAGTGCTGTGGCATCACAGCTCACAGATAGCAACCTCCAATTCCTGGGCTTAAGCAATTCTCTTGCCTCAGCCTCCCAAGTAGCCTCCCAATAGCCACAATGCCGGCTATTTTTTTTATTTTTGGTTATAGTTGTCATCACTGTTTGGCAGGCCCTGGCTGGATTCGAACCCGCCAGCTCTGGTGTATGTGGCTAGCGCCTTAGCCGCTTGAGCTATAGGCATGGAGACAGAACCTCATTTTTTTAAATAGTAAAATAATATTCCACTGTATGGTTATACCACATTTTGTTTATTGGTTCATCTGTTGATGGACACTTGGGTTTTTACATTTTGGTTATTGTGAATAATGCTCTTATGAATGTTGATGTACAAATATTTGTTTCCTAGAAGTGGAAATCTAAACAATGGGAATTCAAAGAAGAATGAGATACTATTTATGTGCTGATGGTCCATACACCTTTCCTTCTACCTCATTTATTTTTCACTTTTGGCTTCTCTCCTGTACTTGAGACCCCTCTTTTTCATTGCATACCATCTGGATAGTCGTACCACTGAAATGTTAAACCTCCTCTATCCCTGCCTTTGTTAGCTATGGTATACAGGATGAGAGTTGGGAGGCTGCTTGGGATTACATAGGAAACTGATTTTTCACACTAATCTTTTCTAATCTACATCTTCACCCCAGGCATCCTGGCATTCTAGGTGACCTCATCCTGGGTCTTACATTATACTGTGACCTTTCACTTGCCTGAATATCCTTTCCCTTATTAACTTTGCAGCTTCCTACTTCACTTTGGCCTTCAGCCTATTGTGGACTCTCAGAATACACTAAACCCTTCTATTGTACTGAGAATGTTGTCATTTATCTATCTGAAACTGTCTAGGCTACTTGTGGTGGCTCATGCCTGTGGACTTGAGGGTGCAGGTTCTCTACCCTTGGTTTAGACTATTCATAGTTAATGTGATTATTTGTGTTTGGATTAAACTCTACCATCTTGCTAGCTGTTTTCAATTTGTTACATCTGTTTATAGTGTTTTTTTCCCTCTTTTTCTGCTTTCTCTTGGGTTGAGAATTTTTTATGCTTCCACTTCATCTCTATTAATGACTTATTTAGGGTGGCACCTGTGGCTCAGTGAGTAGGGCACAGGCCCATATACCGAGGATGATGGGTTCAAACCCAGCCCCAGCCAAACCGCAACAAAAAAATAGCAGGGCGTTGTGGCGGGCACCTGTAGTCCCAGCAATTTGGGAGGCTGAGGCAAGAGAATCGCCTAAGCCCAGGAGTTAGAGGTTGCTGTGAGCTGTGTGACACCACAGCACTCTACTGAGGGTGATAAAGTGAGACTATCTCTTAAAAAATATATATAAAACAAGAATTTAAAAAAATGACTTATTTATACCTTTGAAAAAGTTTAGCAGTTACCTTTGAATTTATAAGGTACATTTTTAACTAATCAAAGTCTCCATTTAAATAATAGTTCACCATTTCACATCTAGTGTAAGACCTTACAACTCTCAATAGCCCCCCCATTCTTTGTTCTGTTATTGTCATATATTTACTAGGCATGTGCTATAAACAAAATACATTTTTTAACAAAGAGCATTTCTATTTTTAGTTAGAAAGTTATCTTTTAGAGCAATTAAGATTTTTAAATATTTTTTATTTTTTTTTAATTGAGACAGAGTCTCAATTTTGTCACCCTTGGTAGAGTGCTATGGTGTCATAGCTCACAGCAACCTCAAACTCTTGGGCTCAAGTGATTCTCTTGCCTCAGCCTCTCTAGTAGCTGGGACTACAGGTGCCCACTACAATGCCCAGCTATTTTTTTTGTTTGTTTGTTTAGCATGCCCTGGCTGGGTTTGAACCCACCAGCCCTGGAGTATGTGGCTGGTACCCTAACCACTGAGCTATGGGCGCCCCCTTATTTATTTATTTATTTATTTAGACAGAGTCTCACTATGTTGCCATTGGTAGAGTGCTGTGGCATCACAGCTCACAGCAACCTCAAACTCTTGGGGTCAAGAGATTCTCTTGCCTCTTCCCTAGTAGCTGGAACTATAGGTGCAAACCAGCAAACTCTTGGGGTCAAGCAATTCTCTTGCCTCAGTCTCCATAGTAGCTGGAACTATAGGTGCCCATTACAGCGCCCAGCTATTTTTTTGTTTGTTTAGCAGGCCCAGGCTGGGTTCGAACCCACCAGCCCCAGAGCACGTGGCCAGAGCCCTAACCACCTTGGGTGCAGAGTCAAGATTTTTTTTTTTAAACATTGAAAAATGTCCATTTCTTGGACTTTATTTCTTTGCTGTGTAGACCTGAATTTATGTTTGGTATAATCTTTTTTTCTTTTTCCTCCCAATATATAATGTATTTGCTATATTCTTTTTTTGCCTAAAGAAACTTCCCAAAACAACTGACTTACTTTCTCTTTTTCTCTCTGTATAGCGCTGATCTACAGGCAATATAATCCTCTCAGTGTTTATATGAGAAAGTTTTTTCATTTCTTTTTCATCTTTTTTTCTGGGTATAGAATTCTGGGTTGAAAGTTATACAGGGTGGCTCGGCACCTATAGCTCAACCGGCTAAGGCGCCAGCCACGTACACCTAAGGTGGCAGGTTCGAATCCAGCCCGGACCCGCCAAACAACAATGACGGCTGCAACCAAAAAATAGCTGGGCGTTGTGGCGGGCACCTGTAGTCCCAGCTACTTGGGAGACGGAGGCAGGAGACTCGCTTGAGCCCAGGAGTTGGAGGTTGCTGTGAGCTGTAATGCCACGGCACTCTACCCAGGGGGACAGCTTGAGGCTCTGTCTCAAAAAAAAAAAAAAAAAGAAAGTTATACAGGGTGGACATAAAGATTGTGTGCAATATTAAATACTTTAACATAGTAAATTACACATGTACATAATTTACATAGTAAATTACACATGAAATTTATGGATACCATGTATTTCTACCATTTCTATACATGGTATCCATAGAGAACTTGCTATAGAGATAGCACTCCATCATGTTCTAGCCTCCATGGTTTTTAATGAGAAGTTTGCTATAATTCTTATCTTTGTTTCTGTGTAAGTAATGTATTTTTTTCTTTGCCTGCCTTCAGATTTTCTTTGTCTTTTGTTTTCAGTAGCTTGAATGTAATTTGTCTAAGTGTAGGGGTTTTTGTTTGTTTGGTTTTTGTTTTTATATTTATCCTTTTTATAAAATCCCTGAGATTCTTAGATCTATGTTTCAATGTCTGTCATTAGTTATAGAAAATTCTTGGCCATTATTAACTTCAAATATTTCTTCTGCCTGTTCTCTTCCTCTCTCCTTTTGAGATTCCAAGTTTGTATATGTGCTTTGTGTCCCACAGCTCTTGGATGTTCTATTACATTGTTGGTATTGATTTTGTTTCATTTGTTTTCTTTTTTGTATTTCAGTTGAGGTAATTTCTTTTGACTTATCTTTTGAGTTCATTGATGATTTTTTTTGGCTCTGTCAACTCCACTGATGATTCTGTTAAAGGCATTCTTCATTGTTACTGGTTTTTTTTTTTTAGCTTTTCTATTGATTTTTGCAGTTTCCATTTCACTGTTGTGCTTTCTAATATTCATTTTCATTTTTTTATTTCAAGGATTTGGTTATTTTTTTCTTATGCCTCTTTTGTGTATCTTAGGTTTGAAAAGCCTGTTGACCTGGAAATCACCAAGAGCTGATCCAAAATAGGACATAAATGTACTCAAGCTAGCTCAAGAAAGGAAGTGAGAAGAGAGTTACAGATTGGTTTGTGTCAAGGAAGGAAGAGCTACTGAGTGTATCTACCAATCTGATTGATTTTCTCAGGGTCAGTGGTCATCTAAATCTATTCTTTTTTCTCTTTATCTACTTTACAAAGTCATCAAATAATTGTTATTTTACTCTTGTTCAACTTAAGCAAAACAAATATGGATTACTTTTGTATATCTCATGTTCTTAAATAGGTCAAGGATCCTGGATTGTGGCACCTCCATAATGTTAGGTTTATAGAGCCTCACAAGGGCCCATTTTTCTGTCCATTACAAAACAAGAAACTTCTTAAGTCTTTCATCTAATATATTTTGTATCTGTCTGGCCAAGGTCTCAAATTTGTTTATTTGTACTTTCTTTCATGCAAATGCTTTGTAAACCTGCTATCTGGGAGTTACTTTGTTACATTCTGTAATGGTTAAACTGTTGAACAAGGTGATCTTTCCTCCAGGAGCTAAAGAGACTCCTATTTAACTAATATGAGAGTGTAGTTGGGTACCATAAGAAAGGTACAAAATGCTGTGGGTATATTATTTTATTTGGGTTAAGGGAGATTGGTTAGTGCTTTGTGGAAAAGGGGGTGTTTTAACTGAGTTTTAAAAGAAATGATTAGAGGCCAGGCATGGTTTCTCATGTCTGTAATCCTAGCACTTTGGGAGGCCTAGGTGGGAGGATTGCTTGAGACCAGCCTGAGCAACATAGGGAGAATTAATCTCTACAAAAGATAGAAATATTAGCTGGGCAGGGTGATACCTGCCTATAGTCCTAGCTACTTGGGAAGCTAAGGCAGGAGGATTTCTTGAGCCCCAGGAGTTTGAGGTTACAGGGAGTTGATGATACCACTGCACCATTGCAGTCTAGCCTATGCAACAGAGTGAGACTGTGTGTCAAAAAAAAAAAAGAAAGAAAGAAAGAAAGAAAAAGAAAGAAAGAAAGAAAGAAAGAAAAGGAAAAGAAAGAAAAAAAATCCAGCTTATGCAAAAGCACTCATTTATGACGTATTTGCTATTCAATTTACACTGTTTTGAAAGTCTGCCTTTTCTTCTTCTTTTACTCCTGTTCAAAGATTTATATTTTTGGCTAGGCTTATATTTTCCAAGCACTCTGGGAGGTGGAGGTGGGAGGATCACTTGAGTTCAAGTTTGAGATAAACCTGAGCAAGAGTGAGATCCCATCTCTACTAAAAATAGAAAAAAAATTAGCTAGGCTTTGTGGCCTGTAGTTCCAGCTACTCAGGAGGCTGAGGCAGGAGGATCGCTTGAACCCAGGAGTTTGAGGTTGCTGTGAGCTAGGCTGATATCATGGTACTCTAGCCTGGGCAACAGTGTGAGACGCTGTCTCAAAACAAAACAAAACAACACAAGCAAGCAAACAAAAAGACATATTGTTGTAAGACTGTTGTACCTTGTCTCTTTTTGATTATTTTAATCTCCTGTGTTTTCTTGTAGTTCCTAGTTGTAGGTTTTGGGGTGTTAGCTTTGTAGTTTAGGACTCAGAGACATAGACCACCTATATGCCCTTCAAGAGATGTTCAGGGCAACATTATTTTTCTATTTGGCCTGAATTTTCAGAGTGTGTACTTAGAATAGTAAACTTTCTTTGCATGAATGTGGGCCCTGCCCATAGGGCAGATGACTGCATTCTAGAACACAGTGCAATAAAGCAACAGCTTCTCTACCGTTTATTATTGTGTTTCCCTGAAAATAAGACACTGTCTTATATTTATTTTTTCTCAAGAAAACACACTAAGGCTTATTTTCAGGGGATGTCTTAATCTCCGAAATGCATGGCATGAATGACAAGTAGAACTGTTAGTATATGTGAGCACTGAGAATTACTTTATTGGTTAACACTGGCATTTTCTCTGGGACAGGAAGCTGAGTCGTCTACCTCCAGAAATGTCTTTGGAAAGTAAAGAGCAACATGACCTTTCACCTGAGGACTCTGCTGAAGGAAATGATGATTCTCCAACCGGGATCCATCTGGAGCCTCAAAAGGAATCAAGTACTGACTTAAAGCAATTTGGAACCAATGATCAATGTAGACATCATTCTAGGATTCATTTAGAATGTCGAGAGAAAGTAAATACTAACTTCAAGAAGTTTGTTATCACAAAGCTGCAGAAGAGTTGCCAGTGCAGCTCAACCAAAGCCAAAAATGTGATTTTGGGCTTCCTTCCTGTTTTGCAGTGGCTCCCAAAATATGATCTAAAGAATAATATTTTAGGAGATTTGATGTCTGGCTTGATTGTGGGCATCTTATTAGTGCCCCAGTCCATTGCTTATTCCCTGTTGGCTGGCCAAGAACCTATCTATGGTCTGTACACATCTTTTTTTGCTAGCATCATTTATTTCCTCGTGGGTACCTCCCGTCACATCTCTGTGGGCATTTTTGGAATACTGTGCCTTATGATTGGTGAGGTAGTTGACCGAGAACTACACAAAGCTGGCTATGACACTGCCCATGTTGCTGCTTTAGGAGTGGTTTCAAATGGGACCACATCATTAAATCAGACATCAGTCATGATATGTGACAAAAGCTGCTATGCAATTATGGTTGGCAGCACTGTAACCTTTGTGGCTGGAGTTTATCAGGTAAGAAACAATGGAACAATTGGTTGTTTCTGGAAAAGTAATCACTATGCATGAAATCTCATATTTGTAAAGGATCTTAGGGATCACTGAAATTAAAGTTATTATTTATTGAGTGCTCAGGATAAAGGGTAAGTCAAAATTTGAATGCTGATCTGACTCCAAAGGCTGGTTCTCTGAACCTCAGGTCCCCTAGTACAACTCCTTGATTTTACATGTCAGAAAACCTTGGCTTTTCTTGATACTATTTGTGGTTGGTTATTGGCAGAGTTGGCAAAAGGGTAACAGAATGGAAGTTGGGGGAGAGGAGGAATGCAGGAGTTTTTCAAATCATAAATGTTTTTACCTTCCTTTAGAATCACTGCTTAAGTGAGTGACTCTTACTAAAGATAGGAGTTCTCTTGGATTATTGGAGAGGCAGAGAGAAAACGTTGAGGGCCACAGTGTGGTACTGTCAGCAAAGATTCGAAATGAAATTAGGTCTCATAGACTCCACTAATCTGCCATTATCATCATGTCTCTGCCTCTTGGCATCCAGGAGTCAGTGCCAACATTAAACTGCTTTTCTATCTCAGGCATTTGGAACCAATAAGGGAAGGAAAAGAGTAGCTCACATTATTTGGTGCTTGGATAAGATGTGAAGGTGGTATGCAGATGAATTGTAATTCTCAGGGTCCGTTTTTGCTTTTTTGTTAGTATCCCTCACCAAGAAAGAGGAAGGCATATTAGCATTCTGAAAAATTATTGGGAAGAGGTAAAAATAAGAAAAGTTTTATCTTTGAGAATGTTGACTTGTTATTAATATGGGAGGTGGTGTGGCATAAGCACATTATATACCGGATGAACACTTTCTCAGTGTGAGGTTAGAGTAAAGAGAGTTCTATTCTGAATGACAGTTTTGTTGGAAGAAAACACAAAAGAATCAGAATCAAATGAGAGAAGATCAGTGAATGACAAAGGAAAAAATCTAAAAAATACAAAATGAGCAAAAGATAAAAGTAAAAAAAAAGAAATAAAGGAGTTCTACAATAATTTTTAAAGTGTGATTCTATTTTTTTTTTTTTTTTGAGACGGAGCCTCAAGCTGTCCCCCTGGGTAGAGTGCCATGGC